GCATTCATCAGGAGAGGCAAGCCTCCAAGTGCCATTTGTATGCAGTGTGGGTGCTGCAATAGCCTTTCCTGGAGTCCTCTTTCAGAATCCTGTGGTTTAGAACAAAAGTGGGTTTGCTTGCTTCTGAAATAGAGCACTGAGCTGAAAGGAAGCTTTCACCAGTAAGTATCTGTTGAATTAATAAGTTCTGAGCTGAGATATTTCAGACCATCCTGCCTCTCACTATTTATTCACTTAACAAATATTTATTGATCTTTTGCTTTTATGTTTATGCAAAATAACATGTCCGAACTATGAGGGAGAAAACGTGATAAAGTATTGAGCTTACAGTGATAGACGAGGAAGATAACCTTATGCTGTATTAATTTTCTTCAACATTTTATTATGAAAATTATCAATGAAATAGAAAAGTTAGAAGCATTATACAGTAAACATCCATATACCATCTGCCCAGGTTGTAAATTGACATTTTGCTTTTTTCTTTAACACATCTGTTTGTTCGTCCATTCTTTTAACCAGTCATCCATCCAACATATTTTTGATTCATTTCAAAGTTACAGACATCAGTAGATTCTACCCCTAACTAAACACTTCAAACACAACACTAATTTTCAGTTCAGTGATCTCAATTCAATCATAAAATTCTTTCTTTTTTAATGAAAAAAGGAAAATATGTAGAGTTTCATATAAAAACAAATCATTTTCTCTCAAATAATATTATGAAATGATAGTTTATGCATGATGGGAAAAAAATACTGATTCTCCTCTGTGCAAAATGAGCCAAAGAGAGAGATAAGAGAAGGAAATTTCCTCAAGGCAATGAGGAAAAGAGGAATGAGTCACTTCTGTAGGAGGGTAAGGTCAAATGGCCTTGGGAAGGCCAAGCTATGGCAGTGTTTGAGGGAACCACTTCCTGCTTCCTTCCAATCAAAACAAAACAAAACAAAAATCCCAGAGATGATACTGCTTTCACCTTCTTTCCCTCTTCCTAAGGTGGACTGTGGACCATTCCAAGGGGTTTCGGCTTGGTCAGGGCTGAAGGTGTATTGACTGGGTTTTGGATGTAGCAGTGGAGAGGAAGGACAGGCTGAAGCTGTAACTTTGGGAGCTGTCTTCACAGAGGTTGTGCTGGGGTAGCGGACGTGAGTGGATAAGGCCTCTGGGACTGACAGCTTAGAGTAACAGGAACTGAGGGCAGGGCTGGGACATAGGAGGAGAAGGTGATGCTGTTGAAGAAGTCAGAGGAGGCACACTCAGAGAAGTCAGAGTGTTTCTCTGACTGGCCATTCAGAGCTAGAGGAGAACATGGGAAAATACCTAAAACAAGACTCTAAAAAGGAGATCCGGACAAGCCTTTAGAGATCACCTACCCCACCCTTCACATTTGACCAACGAGAAAATGCAGGCTGAGACATCACTCAGAAAGTTAGTGGCAGAGGTAGGCAAAATCAAGGCCACCCAAGTGGTGTTTTTCCAACAAAGTAAATCAATGGGTTTCTTCCACAAGGACCAAATGCCTTGGCTTTGATGTTTATCTTCAAAAAATATGAATTTGACTTCTGGCCAAGATGGAGGTGTAGGTAGACACACTGTGTCTCCTCGCACAACCAAATTAAAGACAACAAAAATTTAGAAACAAACAAACAAAAAACAACCAGAACTGACAGAAAATTGAACTGTAGGGAAGTCCGACAACCAAGGAGTTAGGCACATTCATCCAGTCCGGTAGGAGAGGCGGAGTCGGGCACCCGGTGGAGAGGGATTGCAGCAAAGGCTTGCGGACCCTGGTGCACGAGGCAGCAGCTGATGGATCCCAGGCGCAGGGTGGCAGCGGGCAGACCCAGTGAGGCACTCAGGGCGGCTGGCTGACTGAGCAGTCCCACATTCGCGCACAGACAAACCAGGCGAAGTTGGGGAGTGAGACAGACCTCACAGTCCAGGACCCCAGCTTGGGGAAATAAAGCCTCAAAACACCAATTGAAAACACCTGTAGGGGTTGAGGTGCAGGGAGAAACTCCCAGTCTCACAGGAGAGTTCATTGGAGAGACCCACAGGGTCCTAGAATGTACACAAGCCCACCCACCTGGGAATCAGCACCAGAAGGGCCCAATTTGCTTGGGGAAGCAGTGGAAGTGACTGAAATCCAGCAGAGAGTGGAGTAAGCGCCATAGTTCCCTCTTGGACCCTGTCCCCATAGGCAGCGTCACAACCCAGTGACTGGGCTGACCCGTCCTGGTGAACACCTAAGGCTCTGCCCCTCATAAGTAAGAGGCATGACAAGACAAAAAGGAAATGGCCCAAATGGAAGAACAGATCAAAGTCCCAGAAAAAGTACAACTAAGCAATGAAGAGATAGCCAACGTATCAGATGCACAGTTCAAAGCACTGGTGATCAGGATGCTCACAGAATTGGTTGATTTTGGTCACAAATTTGATGAAAAAATGAAGGCTATGCTAAGTGAAATGAAGGAAAACCCACAGGGAACCAACAGTGATGAGAAGAAAACTGGGACTCAGGTCAATGGAGTGGACCAAAAGGAAGAAAGAAACAACCAGACGGAAAAGAATGAAGAAACAAGAATTCCCAAAAAATGAGGAGAGGCTTAGGAACCTCCAGGACACCTTGAAACGTTCCAACATCCGAATTATAGGAGTACCAGCAGGGGAAGAGGAAGAGCAACAAGTGGACAAGTTATTTAAACAAATAATAAAGGAAAACTTCCCCAATCTGGCAAAGGAACTAGACTTCTAGGAAGTCCAGGAAGCTCAGAAAGTCCCAAAGAAGTTGGACCCAAGGAGGAACACACCAAGGCACATCATAATTACATTACCCAAGATTAAAATGAAGGAGAAATTCTGGCTGGCATAGCTCAGTGGATTGAGCGCGGGCTGCGAACTGAAGCGTTGCAGGTTCGATTCCCAGTTAGGGTACATGCCTAGGTTGCAGGCCATGACCCCCAGCAACCACTCATTGATGTTTTTCTCTCCCTTTCTCCCTCCCTTCCCGCTCTAAAAAATAAATAAATAAAATCTTTTTAAAAAAGAAAAATATAAATATAATGGGGATTAATAGACTGAATAGAAAGATTAAAAAAAATGAAGGAGAGAATTCTAGAAATAGCAAGAGATAAGGGGACAGTCACCTACAAAGGAGTTCCCATCAGACTGTCAGCTGATTTCTCAAAAGAAACCTTACAGGAAAGAAGGATCTGGAAAGAAGTATTCCAAGTCATGAAAGGCAAGGACCTACATCCAAGATTACTCTATCCAGCAAAGCTTTCATTTAGAATGGAAGGGCAGATAAAGCACTTCTCCGATAAGGTCAAGTGAAAGGAGTTCATCATCACCAAGCCCATATATGAAATGTTAAAGGGACTTATCTAAGACAAAGAAGATAAAAATCATGTATAGTAAAATGACAGCAAACTCACAATTATTAACAACCAAAAAAACAAAAACAAAACAAAAAGAAACTAAGCAAACAACTAGAACAAGAGCAGAACCACAGAAATGGAGATCACATGGAGGGTTAGCAATAGGGGAGTGGGAGGAAGAGAGGGGGAAAGGTACAAAGAATAAGTAGCATAGATGGTAGAAAATAGACAGGGGGAGGGCAAGAATAGTATGGGAAATGTAGAAGCTAAAGAACTTATGACACATGGACATGAACTAAAGGGGGGGAATGTGGGTGGGAGAGGGTGTGCAAGGTGGAGGGGAATGAAGGGGGGAGAAATGGGACCACTGTAATAGCATAATCAATAAAATAAAATTTTAAAAAATATGAATTTGGCCAGGATTTTATCCGGCTCTTCCTTAATGTAAAACTAGTACTTTTATAAATTACTGAGATTTATAATCACTGTTAGTGTTTCTCAGTCTTCTTTAAACTTACCAGTTTAAAGAATATAAATATAAAAATACAAAATATAAATATAAAAAATCTAACAACCCCTTCTAGAAGTTTTAATACCTACTTCTACTTCCCACCCCAACTGAGGAGTACCAATAACAGGATACAATATGTTTTCAGTATAGACTCACTAGCAAAAGAGGTGTTACATGTGACTTTGCATAGTTTTATGTGATAAAATTTTTTTCAAATATAAAAAATAAGAGACCAGAAATACACTTTCTCAAATAACAACCCTCTCCCCATTTGAGAACCATTTGCCTAAAGAGATGGGGTCATTTTATTTTACACTTAGTGTACCCTTGAAACCTCCTCCATATCAGTTTAGGGGTGCTTTTAATTACAAGTAAAAACTCACACAATAGTTATTTAAGTAAAGAAGATATTTAATTATTTCCCATAGTAACCAGTGTGGAGAAAGAGGATTCCAGATTCTGTTCAGCAACTCAGTAATAACAGGACTCTCTAGTTTAGCATCTCAGTGGTTTTCTTGGTGTTTCCCTTATGGTCCCAAGATGACCTCTATGGCCCTAAGCATCACTTCCTGTAAGGAAGAAGGCCAGCAAGTAAGAAACAATGCTTTTCCTTGTTTTGAGCATTTGTTAGAAAGGAAGCACTTTCCAGAATCCCATGCCAAGAGACTTTATCATCTACTGCCTTGGCCACAGTTGTGTCTCCTAACCCACTGCTAGACCAGCTACTTGCAATGAGGAACTAGAGCGCTATATTCAGCTTAGACCAATCATGATGCAGCACACCTTCTCAGAACATGTGTAACATGGGACTTATATACACTTGACCTTGTTTTTGCTCAACTCCCTAACTAGAATGTAAGCACCTTGAGGGCAGAGATTTTAGTTTCATTCACTGCTATAGTCCCAATACCTGGAACAATGCCAGGAATTCAATAAATAGTCACAAAAGGAAGGAAGGAATAAGTGACTAAGGAAGAAGGGGGTATAGGCTGTAGGCAATCAGTGTGTCCACTGCCCCTGAGAACACACAACCCTAGTGTGTGTGTTCAATGTGATGGGACTAAGTGACTACTGATCACCAAGACTCTAACCTTAATCCTTGTCTTTCCTCCCAGGGAGTGAGTCATAGCTGGAGGTTGCACTTGTGCCAATGACCCTTCCCAATTCCTCCAGTGTCACAGAAGACAAGATGTGTGAAGGCAACAAGACCATCAATGCCAGCCCCCAACTGATGCCCCTGGTGGTGGTCCTGAGCATCATCTCCTTGGTCACTGTGGGGCTCAACCTGCTGGTCCTGTACGCTGTGCGGAGGGAGCGGAAGTTACACACTGTGGGGAACCTGTACATCGTTAGCCTCTCGGTGGCAGACCTCATTGTGGGAGCTGTTGTCATGCCCATTAACATCCTCTACCTCTCCATGCCTGAGTTGCCCCTGGTCTTGCCACTCTGCCGCTTTTGGCTTTCCATGGACTATGTGGCCAGCACAGCGTCCATTTTCAGTGTCTTCATCTTGTGCATTGATCGCTACCGCTCTGTCCAGCAGCCCCTCAAATACCTGAGGTATCGCACCAAGACCCGAGCATTGGCCACCATCTTGGGGGCCTGGTTTCTCTCCTTCCTCTGGGTCATTCCCATTCTGGGCTGGCATTACTTCATGCCGCAGATGTCAAAGCACCAGAAGGGCAAGTGTGAGACAGACTTCTACGATGTCACCTGGTTCAAGATCATGACTGCCATCATCAACTTCTATCTGCCCACCTTGCTCATGCTTTGGTTCTACGCCAAAATCTACAAGGCTGTACAGAGGCACTGTCAGCACCGGGAACTTATCAATGGGTCCCTGCCTTCCTTCTCTGAAATTAAGTTGAAACCAGAGAACCCCAACGTGGGGGTCAAGAAACCAGGGAAAAAGTCTCCCTGGGAGGTTCTGAAAAGGAAACCAAAAGTTGATGGTGGTGGACCTGTTTTGAAGCCACCATCTGAAGACCTAAAGGAGATGAAATCCCCAGGTGTCTGCAGCCAAAAGGAGGATGAGGAAGTGGACCAACCCCATTCTGTCCCACTTAATATTGTGCAAACACAGACTGAGGCAGAGGAGAATGGCAACAGCTACGTAGCCATCAACCAGAGCCAGAGCCAGCTTGAGACGAGTGAGCAGGGCCTGACCATGCATGCGGCCAGCGAGATGTCAGAGGATCAGATACTAGGTGATAGCCAGTCCTTCTCTCCTACAGACTCAGACACCCCCCCAGAGTCAGCATTGGGGAAAGACAAAACAAGAAGTGGGCCTAGCACAGGCCTCAATTATATCAAGTTCACGTGGAAGAAGCTCCGCTCACATTCGAGACAATATATGTCTGGGCTGCATGTGAACCGAGAACGGAAGGCTGCCAGACAATTGGGTTTTATCATGGCAGCCTTTATCCTTTGCTGGATTCCTTACTTCATTTTCTTCATGGTCATTGCCTTCTGCAAGAACTGTTGCAATGAACATGTGCACATGTTCACCATCTGGCTAGGCTACATCAACTCCACACTGAATCCTCTCATTTACCCTTTGTGCAATGAGAACTTCAAGAAGGCATTCAAGAAAATTCTGCACATTCACTCCTAAGGGAGGCTACAGGGGGATGCAACTAAGTGTCACTTAGGATGTCCCTGAAGAAAATGGAAGGTGAAGGCTTATGAGTTGCCAGGTACCTTGGCTTTCTGGAGTCAGAATAGTCTTAGGGGTTGGGTCATCTGGAAAGTTCTTAGGCACCACTGGAAGAACTGCAGAGGGCAGTGGTCAGCAGAGAACGTACTCTGAGTACAAAGCAGAGCATTTCTAAGAGAATCGAATCTGAATGAGTGCCCGTTTCTCAGGAAAAGTGGGAGCCTCAGACTCTTATTTTAATTCAAGTTTTCAGAATTATATTAACTGGCAATTGAAGGGACATGTGGGTAGAGTTTCTCTGGATAATTAGACAGAACTCTAGAGCCTTCCTGGAATGGAGCTATATGACTGTGCAGAAACCTCACATGTGCAGATAGATGCTGACCCCTTCCAAGGGTCACCGTGAGAGGCATAACAGCTATTCCACTGTGACGGCCACCTCTCAGAACACCTCTCTTCTGAGCCTCTTTAATGGCTTTCTCCAGAACCGATGTCTGAACCACCCTGGAATTCTGCCTTATTCTTACTCACATATGTCTCAGAGTTGATAGGAAATTATGCAGCTTGCACACTCATTGTTTTCAACCCCAAATTCCTTTTAGCTATTAAAAAAAGATGATAAAAGCTGCTCCCAAAAGAAAAGGAAAAGAAGTTTTTAATGGTTTCACATTAAAACATTTAAAAAATGGAATGGGAGAAGAAAGCCATATATCCTGAGTGCTGTGCCAGGTTTACCTATTTAAGCCCCGTGACACCCCACAACAGGAGGGTGGTATAAAGAGAGAAGCAAACTGAAGTGCAGCAAGGTGAAATAAAGTGCCCAAGATCACATAGCTAGTTATGTGAGAGAGCCAGAATGAAAACCCTATGGGGTTCCAGCTCCTTGCACACATTTTCCCCCAAAAAGCAAAATTTTGTCCTATTAAGTACACACACACACACACACACACACACACACACAATATTCCTACGAGTGGTGGCAATTCTCAAAAGAATATATTGTGAGCAGGAACAGCTGACAGAATATGTCTGCAGCCATCGAAGGTGATACTTCGGAGGGGTGGTGTATTACTTATGTGTGTTCTGCTGTGTTTGTCCAAAAGTGGTCATGTTCTTTTATAGTCACATCTCTCAAGTAAAAACTAGCAAAGGCATGTAAACATACAGTTTTACTCTGGTGCTTATGTTGCAGTCTGGTGATGATTTATATTTTAAAATTTGATGCTAAATTGTAATATATGTAGCAAATGGAGTGTCCATACAAGCTGGTATTTTGTGTCTTGTGTTCTTGTTTGCATGATCTGTTAAAATGAGAGATGTTTTTACCTACCTAAAATATGATATTTAAGACTATACTGTTTTACTTATTTAATATCACCATTCTGAGTCTCTTGGACAGAGATGTATTGAAAGTATTATCAAATGTTACAAGAACTGATGTAGGGTTTCTCTTTGGTTTTTGATCACATTTGTAAATGTCTCTAGAAAAGGACTTACTTTTTATAACTAGCTTCATCTCACTGTGCTTTGCATCCCCAAAAGCTCTTCTTGTTCAAAACTGTGGGAGCTAAGGAGACTTTTATTCTGGTTTTAGAAGCTGCAGCTGTCTTTTTCCAGGTCAGAAGCTGTCTCTCAGAAGGCCTGTGAAAACATTCCTCCCTGGGATCCTTTAGGACCAAGGAATACCTAAAAAAGATCACTCTACACAGACAAATGGCCAAGTGCTCATCATTTATGTTGATGAACAGTTAAGGAAGCCAGTGAAGAGAAGTGGTTATGAGCTCCAACTTTGGTTCGAAGACACCTGGGTTTGAGTTTGACAAGAACAAGAAACAATCAATATAAATTGTCAGAGCATAAAGAACCAGGTCCATGCATTACTGTATACAGTGTTTACAATACTTGTACTGTGGCTGGTACACAGAGAGGACTCATATGTGGTTTTCATACAAGTGAGCATATGCTTTGTGCCAGACTTCGTATTTTACCATTGTTACCTGATTTAACCTTTATACCAATCTCCATGTTTTCACAAATAGGCAAACTAAAGCACAGAGGCATTAAGGACTAGCTGTAAGATCTGATTCTGGAATGTGCTTCCTTGCCACAGTATCAACCTTCTATTCCAACTCCTATCTGAATGATTGAATTAATTTTTAATGTATGAAAGGACTAAATTTATAAGAGATAACTCAGTCCCAGTCCATTCAGCAAACAATCAGTGGCTGATGGCCTGACCAAAATCTGGTTGAAACCAGGTTTTCTGCCCTAAATATTAAAGTAAGTATCTTCTAGGACAAGGCTGTTATAGAGACCTTGATTGTTGATAAGAATGTGCAGATTTAGAAGCTCTTTTGGGTTTCCTTTTACAGGCTTAAAACTGGTCAGCTTGACGCCATTTCCTCATTTGGCCAGTTTGGCCAAATTTACCACAGGCTGGTTCTTTAACTATTTACAAGGTTTACAACAATGCATATAGGATGAGGCTTTTAAGAACACTTCTCTACAATTGTTGGGAAGGTATAGTAACTGATTCTCATTTTTTTTCACAGCCACATATTGAGGAAGGTTTAATATGCGTTGTCCCCAGTACACTGCTGCTGCAGGGGTAGACTGAGTTGTAGAGAGGGGAGAAATAGAGGTGATGAGACTAAGGGTAAGAGAAGGGGACAAGAGGGATAGAAATTAAAAGAAACTAGAGCAGACGGGAAACAGAGGATCATAGAGGACAGACGAAGGGGAAGAGATGGTGGACACCAAGGGAAAAGAGGTTGAGATGGATGTGCAGAAGGACAGAGAAGGAGAGAGATTCAGGGGAAGATAGAGAAGATTAAGAGAGATGGAAATAGTTGGGGAGAGTCAAAGGGAGAAACTGAGGAATGGGAAGGGAGACACAAAAGAAAAAGTGGAGTGGGGGACAGAAAGAGTGTAAACCAGGTAGCATAGTATACACTCAAGAAAAAAATCTACAGGTGTGCGAAAGGCAGCCACACATTGATGTTTCTCTCCCTGTCTCCCTCCCTTCCCCTCTATCTAAAAATAAATAAGTAAAATATTTAGAAAAAAGAAAAATCTACATTCAAGAACCTATTTTTTATTAATGTATTCATAAGTTAAATTTATTCAAAGGAAGACAACTATTTTTAGCTTTTGATATAAAAAAAATTCCTTCAAATGCTTCTCTGAAGACACATGAAAACCAGTCAACTACAACAGCACATAAATCTTTAAAAGCTTGGGAAGCCAATCCATCCAATAGAAATTGCTATAAACCTTAGAAGTTGGTAGCATTAGCAAAGTGTGTGTTCAGAAAATCCATGAGTCTGCAAATTGGCTACTTGGCTTGCAGAAAATTGCTGGTCTCTTTTTTGAAGGAGGTAGATTTAATAGTCACAACAAAGGGTGAAAAGATTCTGGGGCTCTCCTGGCTATAATACACTCTAAGCTCTATAAAGAAAAAAAAAACACTGTTAAGATCTAACTCATCAAGTCACTCCACAATGTCTCTGGATTTCAAAACCTAGGTTGTATAGCATATGTTTCTTATCTGTGGGGACTATGTACTCTCCTCAACTGAACTGTAATACAAGAATGAAAGTAGACTGACCTGAGTCACTTGAATAAGCATCGTTGTCTTGTTCTCCTGCTGTGTCTGAGAACATCCTCTAAATTTTTATGGCTTCTGGTCCTGCACTTTTCTTGATGCTCCACCATCTTGGTGCCTCAAAGGTCTGTCTCCCCCATCCTGGGCAACAGGGCAGGTCTTCTGCTCTGAGTTTCACCCTAAGTCCCTGCTAACAAGAAGGCCACATTTGTGGCTTGAGTGACCACTTATTTGGGATGTCCAGACATGATCTGTTAATTTAACAAATACTTCTCAAACACTTCCTGGGCTAGTCCTTTGTCCAGGCACTAGGAAAAAATGGAGAACATGAGCTACTTTAGGGTTGAAGTGATAGAAACCAGTTTTGTGAGTGGCTACTGAGGTGTTCTGTGGAATCCAATAATGTTTTGGATGACCTTGCCTGGGGAAGGGCTTGAGCCACATCAGCCACAGGAACCTCAACAGAAGTTCCCTCGAGAATACTGCTATTGACCTATGTGATTTATTCCTATTCCTCGTCTCTATGAGCATCAGTTCAAACATCCAAAGCTCAGGATAAAGAATTGTCCTGTGTTCACCTCAGCTGCAGTCAACTGTAAATAGGGGGTGGGTTAGGGGGAGCAGGTGGCACATGCAGTACGAACATGGCTGGAGGACAGCAGTTCCCAGAGAAGTGGGAAAGATCTGTTGTGAGCTGGGCAGAAACCCCCAAAGATCTTAATTATAAGGCTCTCAAAGTCCAGCAAGGGAAACAAGCTTATAAAAACCTAATTTCAACCTGTCCTCGTATATGTTTAATAGAGTGAAGCCTTGAGGTGGTGGTTGTCAGGTATGCCTTCACATAGCAGGTGACATCCCTATCGGTTTTTTAAAAATCAAATACATTCCATTAAATATATACAGTAAAAATGCACCCATTTAAGAGGTCCATCTCAATCAAGATACATAGAATACTACTATCATCCCTGAAGGTTACTCATGCCCCTTTGCAGACAATACCTCGCTTTATGCCTCAGGCAAACACTGATCTCACTTCTATCACTATAGATTAGTTTTTCTGATTCTAGAACTTAACATAAGTGAAATCATGCTATATGTTCTCTTTTCCCATCAACATTTTGTCTAAGATTTGCTCACATTTCAACTGGATTTTGAAGATGAAGAAAGGTTAGACAAGCAGAGAAACTGTGAGGATATTGCAGATGAAAAGATAAATGAGGAGAATGTGCTTTAAACACCAGAATTAGTTTAGTGTGACCCAAACATGGAGTTTGAGGGAGCAGTGGCAGAAGAGGAAACTGACAGAGTGGAAAGAGTTGAGAATAACAAATTTTATTTGAGCCCCACGCTCTTAAAAAACAGCAACAGTTAAGAAATCCCTCCCCCACCCAACACACACACACTTTTGTGCTTCAGAAATGGTTCACTGCAGAGAAACATCAATTCTCATGGCTTAGATAAGACTCATGGATGCTTCCTTGTCTACCTGTGGCAAAGGGCAGAAAGTCTTGAATTTTTATTCTTTGCCTTATAAATGATTAGCTGAACTACTTGTCCCCATCGATCAAGCCAAAAAATGCCTATTAACCAACTTTAGTTAAGCTTCTGTTATTCCCCAGGCTCCTTAATTTGGACCCTACCATGGGCTGAGGGATGAGGCACAACCCCTGTTAAGCACAGGCTGGACACTGAAACAGTGTGGTAACCGCCATGGGGTAGGGCAGTGGGGACATAGGGTTCTGGGTGGAGGTGGAAGAGGGTATAGCGGGGATAAATGGTGATGGAAAAAATAAAGTAAAATAAAATAAAAGGAAGAGCATTTGGAGGAAAAACAGTCTCTGATTGACTGTTTTTGATCAAGCCACCCTTTCTTTCCACTTTCCCAAGCCCAGTTCCTTCTAGTCTTCTTCCCTCTTCCCTAGGGAAGAAACTCTTTTTGCCTAACCTTTGAGACATAAGCAGATCTTTGGTCAGAGGGGTCTCCCTATTGCAAAATTTCCCTACATTTTGTAGTAGTCTCTCCCCTCTCCTACCCCACCCTGTATACATATCCTTTCAAATAAAGTATCTCCTTAATAAGTAAAACAGGCTTCGATTAGAATCCTGGCCCAAAAGTTCTTTATTTTTTCTTCAGCAAGCCCCTCAACTTTTCCTTGCCTCCATTCTTTCATATGCTAAATGGGGATAATATAACACCTAAATACTTTTCTGGACCTTTAAGTGACAATTAGTGATGTGAAAATCTGCAAACATGGTAGATAATAAATAGCTGTCATTACTCTTGTTATTATGAGTCTATAGAGCTACATGAGAGTCACTTTACGAATGCCCTAATGTATCAGATTAGGTTTATACTCACTATTGTATGTTCGACACCTGTTCACTGCTTGGCACACAGAACACGCTCAATAAATAATTTAGATGAATAACTTTTTCCCATTAACAACGGAGAGCTATGAGAATAATGCCTAGTTTAGAAAGAGCTGGCTGGTCACTGTCGACTTTCATTGCCTTTCACCTATTAAAATTCTCATCTTCTGTCTACCCAACACCTGTCTCCTAATGGCCCCTAGAATACATTTGGTGCTGCCTCTTCTGGAGCACTTTTTTAAAAGCCTAAGGGGCATATACTGGTACTCGATCCCAGGTCTAATAAGGGAAAGTCTCTCCAGATAAGCTCTCACCAGGGTGCCTCTCCCACCTCCAGATGCCCCGCCTTCCCTACGAATCAAGTACCTCCCACTCAGCCAGGTGCTAGGGTCTCGTTTACCAGGCTGGCCCGCAGCTCCGTGTGCGCCTGCGCACCACTAACCCAAAGCAGAGGAGGGCGGGGACGCGTTGCGTCATCGGGGTGCGCTTTGAGGACGACGCCGTGGTTGCCGGAAGTTGAGCGGCGGTAGGTGAGCCGCGCTGGTGAGGGAGTCCTGGGGTTCTGCGGGGTTGGTCTTGGAGGCCTGGCGTCAAGGGGCGAATTCGGCGTTGAGGGCGAAGGTCAGAGGGCGTCTCAGGATCCTCCGTCCGTCAGGGAGTAACTGACTCGCTCTCACCCTCTTTCTCCAGCTAAGTCTCCGCCTGGTTTAGACGCGGGTCTTCTGACTAGGAAGCTCCTTCTAATTTCCTAAGTCAGCCCCTTCTGTCCTCCGACGGAGAGTGCTGGGAATGTCTGGTGTCGGAGGGACACAGGAGCTCAGACGCCAGATGCTCGTCCTGGCTTTGCCCCGATTTGCTGCTGTGTGACTGGCACCTCACCCCCTCTTTCTGAGCCTTCTTCCCTCATCTGTAAAATGGGAGTGCTAATAACGTTATTTGTGAAGCGATGACGTTACATTAGGCTTTTCTAAGCTACGATTTCTGATTCTTCGTTTTGGTCCAAGGGCTGCAAACTTTAATGTTAGTCAGGTAAGGTGAATGTAGGTGTGAGAATATTTCCATGCCATACATAAATAGAGTCAAAGTTTTATTTTTACTGAATTGAGTTTTCTGGGCACAATACTAACATGGGCGATGTTGGAGAAATGAAACTAAAGCTGCAGTGTGGGTGTGTTTGCGCCTGTGCTCGCACGCAGGCAGTCTCTTGATTTTTTTTAAACCGTGGCGACTAATTAAGAAAAAAAGAGTGCAACAGAAACCAGGCATATCTGGCTGCCAATGTGGGACCCTTGGGTCCCATATTCCCTTTCCCACGAAATACTTGGATTTCTTCTCTGACACCCCTACTGGTTACATTTCTTAAGTGACAGAAGCTCACTACTTCTGGCTACTTCTGTTTGGTCTTTTCCTGGCTCTGACTCTTAAAAGTCGTAAGTTAAACTGAAAGCGGTTACCCAGTAATTTCAGCCCGTCCCTTCAGGCTCTCAAGGATCTCACTTCCACTTTATTGCTTACACATGTTTGAATGCTGCTAGTTCGTCTTCCTCTTCCCAGCTCTTCTCCAGGCTAAGCACACTTGATTTTTTTTACCCACAGTAAACTTCACAACAACTGAGAATTTTATGTGTCAGGCACTGTTGTAAGCCTTGGTGATATAGCAGTAAAATAAATGTTTCATGGGCCTTCTTGATTGTGGTGGCAGCAGTTGTGGCGATAGTCAATAATACAATATTTTTAATGAGTGGTAGGTCTGTCAGATCCTGATAGATGCTACTAAAAAACCAACAACAGAGTAATGGGGGGGAAGAAGAGGAAGCTTTTCTCTGAGGAGGTGATATGTGAGTAAAAACCGGATTGAAGAAACAGCCATACTTGTGAAGTCCATTTTGCCTAATTGCTTCCCCATCTCCCAGCTCTGTGCTCAAGTCTTACTAAACTGCTCACACGCTGTGTCTCACTTGTAGCCCTTCACTCCTGCTGCTTCTGCTGCCTAGAACATCTCATTCCACCTCCATTTTTCTTGGACAACTCTTCCCTACCCCTCATGTGACATAATTTTGAAACCCTTTAAGAACTTGAATATAGGGCTCTCATTCAGCCACAAGGTCCTTCTGTTCCCAGCCAGCTTCTCATAATAGAGAATAAGCAGGAGTATGTATTGAGCTTCCACTATGTGCTTGACACTGCTCTGCAAGCTGGAAATACCAAAATGAGTAAGATACACATCCTTGTCCTTAAGGAATTATTACTTTTTTTAATTCAAGGAGATAGCAGCACTGTTGTATGAAGCTATTGTAGGGGTATGCTGGAGAATTTAGGGTATTCCTAAGTTAGGCTCAGGCATCAGAGAAGCCTTCTCTGAGGATCTGTTGCTTTATCTAAGTCCTAAAGGATGAGCAGGATTAAACAGGTGAAGAGGCTAAGAGGTGGGGAGATACTGCAGACATTGGGAGCAAAAGAATATGAGTGACAGTGTATGACCTACAGGTAGTAGGAGTTCACCTGAGTTGGAGTGTGGAGTTGTTGGATAAGAGGTGACTGATAAGGCAAGCAGGAGGCAGATCATGACGGGCCTTGTGAGTAATAGCATGTTAAGAACACACTTTGGAATATAAAATACTTCTGTACCAATACTAGCTTTGCCACTGAACTAGTTTTGTGACCTTGGGCAAGTCACTCTTTCTAAGTTTCAGTTTCCTCATCTGTGAAAAGGAGGAATACAATATAAACTTTTCCAGGGTTACTGTGAGAATTAAATAAGATGATGTTTGTTATTCACTTGGCATTGGTAGGTTGTAAATAATAACTGTAACAGTTAATATTGCCATGCTGAGAAGTGCGGGCTTTATTTTGCAAGTGTGGTGGTAGAGAGTGAGGCACTGAAGAGTTTTAAATGGTGTGCCATGCTCTCACCTGTTTTAAATTACCCTGGTAGCACGGTGGTGATTATAATGAACAGGGTGGGACCAGCAGGGGCACCACTCAGGCCATTGTTGCTGTGGATCTAGGTGACTGAAGGAGGCCGGAATCAAGGCAGTGGCTGTGGAGAGGGAGAAGGGTGGGTGGATTTGAAAGATAAAGGAAGTGCGATTTGCTGAACTGGTAACTGATTGAGTGACCCTACACCGGAGAGAGGAGGGAGGTAGGAATCAGAATTTTGGGCTGGGGGAGAATGAATCCACTGTGTGGTAATAATAATAGGGTTCTTTGATTAGCATTCCCTGATTGATTATTCCTGCCTTCTCTCAGATTGCTTCTGTCCTCCAACTTTACCCATATCTGAGTGAAGTTCACAAATATCCTCCTCTTCTCTACCTCCCAAATCTTACATTGTTCTCAATGTAAGTAAAGCCCAGTTGTGATTCAAGGGAGAATAAGTAGGTGCTACTTTGTTACCAAGTAGATAATATGCATCTTTATGGTCTTGGCAGACTGGATAACAATCTATTCACTTGGTCTTGGTCCATCCAGTCCTGTTGTTCTGATTACCCTCTTTTGAACTTGCTCCTGTTTACCAGTCTCTCATTGTGTGGTGTAGAAAGGAAATCCTCTTTCCTCTAGGAGTCTGATCATACAGAGCAGGACTTTTTTTTCTTGAGGTGACCTAAGGTTCTGCCTGGCTTCATTGTAGGCAGACATATCATGCCCTTGACACTGTCGCACTGTCAGCACTGTGCATTGTTCAGTGCTTCTCGTGTGTTCATGGGCAGCTCTCTTGCCCACCTCCTCATCTTTCACATTTTCCTTCCTCTCCCAGCCTCCTAACCTTGCCTTTGACTCTCCCCACTCATCAGATCTCTGTATTGCCAGAACTCCTGAAAACTTCATTACTTATCTTTTGAAGTCTCAGCACATCTGATATTGCTGATATTCATTCACGTATGAAAGCCACTCCTGCTTTGGAGTATCTCTCTCGTCATTTCCCCCTCACATTCTATTGTGGGCTCTTTTCCTCTTTTTGTCCCTTAAATGCTAGCTTGCTCCAAGGCTCTGCCTGTGCTTTTTACCCACAGCTTCAATTCCAGCTTATGTGCCAATGATCCCCTCTGTGCTCTGTATCTTGAGCCTACTCAGATCTCTCCTGAGTGCCAGCTCTGAATCTCAAAAAGTTCAAATTTAATCCCAGCATCTTCCCACCAGACCTGTGATTCTTTCTCCATTTTTTAGTCTCATTCATTCTCCTTTTTCCATTTAGTCATTCAAAACAGAACCCAGGGAGTCATCACAGACTTTTTCCTCTCATACCATCACTCCCTCTCCCCTTCCCAGCCCAGGCTGTCATCACAGTTCTACAGATTCTACTTCCTTGATATCTCTTGACACATCTTCATTTCTTCTCCCATTGCTCATCTCACTTCCTGCCTATATTCCTGCCTTGCCTTAGCAGTATGGCCCTCACTGGTGATTGTGCCCTTTCTAAAATACAGGTCTTTGCTACGCAAATAGAGATCCCTGTTTCTTCAGTCTAATCTAGATATCCCTCCTTTCTTCTCCTATAACACTGTGTACAAACATCACACTGTACTTTACTGGTTTTACCCACAAATTTCTATACTGTCACTCCTGGTCTGTCTAACCCTCAAAACTATTAAATCCTTAAAGGCAGGGACCATAGCTTTTTTTGCCCTTGAATCCTGAAATACAGCACAGGGACTAGTATATAATATGAACGTTATTTAAAGGAATAACTAAATGAAACCCCAATGGCTTTGACACACTTTTTGTTGATAATAATAGTTTTACTTTTTTAAAAGTATACTTT